CAAGTGATGCCCCTGGCAGCGTTTTGTGACCATGAGGCTCTCAAGAGATACATGTTGGGGAGCCAAACGGCAATTCTAGCTGAGGCGTCCCACCAAAATCGGCGCGAACGGGCTCGTGAGATCAGCCAGGGTGGCTCCCCCTTGGGGCTCCCAAATGATGCCCCTGGCAGCGTTTTGTGACCATGAGGCTCTCAAGAGATACATGTTGGGGAGCCAAACGGCAATTCTAGCTGAGGCGTCCCACCAAAATCGGCGCGAACGGGCTCGTGAGATCAGCCAGGGTGGCTCCCCCTTGGGGCTCCCAAATGATGCCCCTGGCAGCGTTTTGTGACCATGAGGCTCTCAAGAGATACATGTTGGGGGGCCAAACGGCAATTCTAGCTGAGACGTCCCACCAAAATCGGCGCGAACGGGCTCGTGAGATCAGCCAGGGTGGCTCCCCCTTGGGGCTCCCAAATGATGCCCCTGGCAGCGTTTTGTGATCATGAGAGAGTGTGAGTGTGAGTGAATGTGACTGTGAGTGAGTCTGAGTGAGAGTGAGTCTCATCTTATCTTATCGAGTCCTATCTTATCTTACCTTTATTACCCTCTATCTTATCTTATCTTGAAATCTCTTATCTTGTCTTAGCTTATCTTATATCAATTCATCTTATCGCATCATATCTTGTCTTATCTTATTACTCCATAGGCTGTCTTATCTTATCTATTATCCTACCTTGTCATATATCTTATCTTACCTTATCATATATTGTGCTATCTTATCTTATATTGTAGTATCGTATATTGTCTTGTCTTATCTGGTGATTATCATTGGGAGGAGGGAGGCGCGAGCGGGAGGAAGGAGTCCGCGCGTGGGAGGCGTCAGAGTAATAACAAGAACCCCAATCCTTAGGATATGGGGAAAAACGAATACCAAGACAATGCTCCCAAATGGCCAAACGCAGTACAAAAAGGGTCCCCAGACCATCTTGTGACTACCTTGGAAGATCCCCCCTGTAGAGGTCGGGAGCGGCTAAGAGGGGGGTGTCCAAGAGGGGGGGGGGCAAATCATGACCGGCGGCATGTGCGCGGCCCAGCGGGGGGGCCAGGAACGTAATGAACTAAGAAGAGGCGCCACGAAATCTGGGGAAACATCATGGCCCACGCCATGATATCCACCCCCCCCTATAGTCATCACCCCCCTCTTTTCCGCCCCCGGAGAGGGACAGGCCCGGCTCAACAGCTTGGCCGGGAAGTGGGGGCACTGCGCGCCCCTCCACGAGCAGCAGGCCCCGACTCCTCCGGCAGGCGCCGCGCGCCGCGACCCGCGGAGGGGCCCCGGGCCAGCCCGCCTTGGCGCGGGCCCCCCCGGGGGGGGGTGGGCGTGGCCGCCCGCCACCCATGGCGGCCGGCGACGAAACGGCGGCCCCGGCCGCGGTGCGACGGCCTGGCGCAGCCCAGCGCCTGGCCGAGTGCGAACGGTGCCCGGGCGACTGCGCGACTGCACCACTGCGCTTGCGGTCGAGGCCTCCCGGGCGCCCTCTGCGCGGCAGTGGCTTCTCGCGCCCCTGCGCGAGCTCCCCGAGGACGCTCGGCCGGGGGGGGGGGGCAGCATGCGCGCGCCTCGTTTCGAGGAAGAAAAGCGGCATCATAATCAACTATTGGAGGTCGGCGCGGATTTCTTGGATCTGCGCCAGACCCCCCAGGGGCGGCCCTGGAGGCGCCGCCAGGGGGGCCCAGCGCGGATCCGAGAAATCCACGCGCAGCGCCAAAAATTGACGTGTTGTATGTTTATTGCGTCTTTCTTCGGTAATTGCGAGGCGCTCCATTGCGCGCTGCAGCAGCGCCGAGCTGCGCCAGCTCAGCAGGCGCGGCGCCCGTCGGCTGCGCCGATCTGCGCGAGCTGCCGAGCTGCCGGGAGGGGGGCCCGTCTGGCGGCGGCGAGGCCGCCCATCACCGCCGGTTGACTGGCGGCTGCCACTGGCCCTGGCACCGAGCTGGGCGAGCGGGCGGGCGCGGGGCTGCTGTTGTGGAAACCGGGAGGTGCCGATACCGCTACTCCCTAGAACTCTTCTGGGGTGCGGTCTGACCAGAACTCAGGGGCGAATCCAGCGGTGGCGACGAGGGCCGCCCAGGAGGCCCAAAAAGGAGGAGACGAGTGATAGGTTGCGGTCCGGAATATGCGATGTCCTGATTTCTTCAATGCGGGGTCCCCGAAGTCCTGACCCTTTCCTCTGTACATTTTTTCATCCAGAGCCGTCTTTTGACGGTCCTGGGGCCTGGTGAGGGCCACCAGAAGCCAAAAACTGAGAAAGACCTCCCGCCCTGATCTCTGCACGAAGCGAGCACGTCTGGGGCACCCGTGCCGTTTCTTCCTCGACCCCACCCACCCGTTAGGGTTCACGCGTGCCTGGTCGATGGCGTGCCT